GTCTCTTGTCGTAATTATTAAAGATATTTTATATAATTTTTTATTAGGAGTAGCTCTCTGCCTTGTCTGTTAAATAACAACAGCTCTCCGATTGAAAAAGGTTGGCGACCACAGCTGCCATAGTCTGGTGTCTTCACATTTGGTCTGGTTATAGTTGTGTGCCTTATAAACCAGTCCAAAGCAGCCATTTTCCATTATGCTCCTTGTAAATAGAGCGCTCCGCCTAAAGATATTCCATGCGCTCCAAGTCCGAGCTCATTCAAAGGTAAACTACAGACCCACTCGTTCGAACCCGTTCCCGACTTCACTGTAAACGCATCGTTGCTGCTTCTTGTATGAAATGTGCAGAATAAATAACATTTCCTCTTCACTCGTCACTCTGAGACATACTACAAGAAATGTAGAAGTGGTAGTAGTTGTAGTAGTAGTATTAGTAGTAGAAACCATAGTAGTTAAAGTATTAGTAGCTGTAGTAGTTTTAGAAGTAGTCATATAAGCAGTGGAAGTATTTTTAGTAGTTTGAATAGTAGTAGTAGTATTAGTAGTAGTAGTAGTTTTAATAGTACTAGTAGCAGTACTAGTAGTAGTAGCAGTTGTAGAAGTGGTGGTGGTAGAATCAGTTGTAGTAGTAGTAGTAGTAGTAGAATCAGTAGTAGTGGTAGGAGTAGTAGTAGAATCAGTAGTAGTAGTAGTAGTAGTAGAATCAGTAGTAGGAGTAGTAGTAGAATCAGTAGTAGTGGTAGGAGTAGTAGTAGTAGCAGTTGTAGTAGAATCAGTACTAGTAGTAGTAGTAGCAGTAGTAGAAGTGGTGGTAGTAGAATCAGTAGTAGTAGTAGTAGTAGCAGTAGTAGAAGTGGTGGTAGTAGAATCAGTTGTAGTAGTAGTAGAATCAGTAGTAGTAGTAGTAGTAGGAGTAGTAGCAGTTGTAGTGGAATCAGTAGTAGTAGTAGTAGTAGAATCAGTAGTAGTAGTAGTAGTAGAATCAGTAGTAGGAGTAGTAGTAGTAGTAGAATCAGTAGTAGTAGTAGTAGTAGAATCAGTAGTAGTAGTAGTAGTAGAATCAGTAGTAGTGGTAGGAGTAGTAGTAGTAGCAGTTGTAGTAGAATCAGTAGTAGTAGAATCAGTAGTAGTGGTAGGAGTAGTAGTAGTAGCAGTTGTAGTAGAATCAGTAGTAGTAGTAGTAGCAGTTGTAGTAGAATCAGTAGTAGTAGTAGTAGTAGAATCAGTAGTAGTAGTAGTAGTAGTAGAATCAGTTGCTGATGATATTGCAATTGTAGCGCGATCAACAGATGATTTAGATCTTGTTGTGCGCTCCCTAAAAGAAACTGCTGAACTTGTTGGTTTACAAATCAATGACAGCAAAACAAAAATCATGAAATTTGGGACTACTGGTGCCACTGGCACAATGTCTATATTCACCAATGAGGACGACTCAAAGGATGAAAACTGCTGCAAATTCTGTGGTGCAAAATTTAAAAACAAACGAGGCAAAGCTGTGCATGAGGCCCGCTTCTGCAGGAATAAGGCTACGGAAGGAACCATCAAAGAAACCACCGAAGGAACCACTGAAGGAACCACAAAAGGAACCGTACAAGGAACCACCGAAGGAACCACCGAAGGAACCGCAAAAGGAACCTCAGAGGATGCATCTGGAAAAGCTGATGAATACATTTGTAATTCCTGCAAAAAAATCTTTTCTACATCACGCGGACTAGTATTACATCAGACTAGGTGGTGTAAGAAGACAGTGGAAGCACAAACAAAGAAAGAACATGACCCTCTCTTCCGGTGTGACCAGTGTCAGAGATCCTTTGATACTGATCTGGGCCTAAAAACTCACAAATCAAGATGGTACACTGCTGGAAGGGTCAAAAGAAGCAATCGTAACCAAAGAGGGAGCAGGAAAAAAACACATAGTGCTCCATTAGTGTGGGACACAGAGAGTTCAGAAACAATAAAAAACTATGACATTGTGGAAGAATTCAAATATTTGGGTCAAATTATAAAAGGCGATGGTGACCACCAAAGAGAAATAAAGCAGAAGATCGCAGACTCTGGTAGAAGAGCAGCAGAACTTACAATGATCTGGAGCTCCTCAGAGTACAAACTAGACACAAAAGTGTCTCTGTACCAGTCCTTGGTGCTGAGCGTCCTGCTGTATGGATCAGAGACATGGGTCATTAAGAAGGACAGTAAGCTGAGGCTTGAAGCATTTCAAAACCGAATGCTGAAAAGGATAACTGGTATTCACACCAGCGCTCACATTACATCTGAAGAGCTGAGACTAAAATGCAAATGCTCTAAAATCCTGAGTATTATTGCAAAAAGAAGAATGAAATTCTGGCAAAGAATACGAAAAATGGAAGACTCAAGAATACAAAAAATCATTCTTGACTGGAAGCCAAAAGGGAAAAAACAAGAAGGTGGACAAAGGAAACAATGGATAAGACAAATCGAAGAAGATGCAAAAGCCCAAAATATGTCACAAATCGACCTGGTAGATCTGACGAAGGAAAACTGGACCACATTTCTTGAAGCACTGTAGGCACATCCCTAAGCCCATTCCAAGGAGCTCAGTGAGTTTTTTTTAGCAGGTGAGGCCACTTTTAAAGAGGCCAAGTCCTGCAGTACCCGGGCCTCCCCCCGGGTCGCTCCCCTCCCCCTGGGTCACCTCCCCAGGAGCTCGCACCTGTAAGTCCACCTGCACAGGGAAGCGAGGCGGGATTCTCTGGCAATAAGACCAGGCCAGGGTCAACCGTGAGGCATAGCTTTTTTTCTCACTCAATAACTCCGGGCTAGGATATAAAAAAAAAAAAAAAAAAAAGTAGAATCAGTAGTAGTAGTAGTAGTAGTAGAATCAGTAGTAGTAGTAGTAGTAGAATCAGTAGTAGTAGTAGTAGTAGAATCAGTAGTAGTAGTAGTAGTAGAATCAGTAGTAGTAGTAGTAGTAAAATCAGTAGTAGTAGTAGTAAAATCAGTAGTAGTAGTAGAATCAGTAGTAGTAGTAGTAGTAGAATCAGTAGTAGTTGTAGTAGCAGAATCAGTAGTAGTAGTAGTAGTAGTAGTAGCAGAATCAGTAGTAGTAGTAGTAGTAGAATCAGTAGTAGTTGTAGTAGCAGAATCAGTAGTAGTAGTAGTAGTAGTAGTAGTAGCAGAATCAGTAGTAGTAGTAGTAGTAGTAGTAGTAGTAGTAGTAGTAGCAGCCATACATTAATGAATTACTTTGGCCTTGCCAGAACAACTGTATTAAATAGAATCAATAGTGATTTGTGATGTCACATGAAGCCTTGTCTCTGGAACCAGATTCTCATTGTTCTGTCATTATTCCATATTTCCACTCCTTCTCCTCAGTCTTGCATCGACACACAACTTCACTCTAAGCTCCTGAGTCTGACAAATACGCAAACACACACAAATATATCTAACAGATCCACAGGAGGGCGTATACTTTCGTCACTGCGGGGAACAGCGGTATACAAAGCAGCATGTCTGTCTGGGCAGGACCGGGAGTCACGGCCGCCATGGTTCATGTGTGCGTGGAAGAAATACAGCAGCGGCGGGTGAACGTGGACACACACACACACACACACACACACACACACAGACACACACACACGCGGACACACACGCGGGAAACACGGCTGCAAAACACAACAATAGTGTGATGAGACAGTAATTTTGACTGTGTGGCTCTACGGTATTGAAATATATATAGTATAGTAGTACCAATAGTCTTGATGATCCACCCGGAAGTAGAAAATCCTCCTATATACCTTTAACTGAGAGCATAAATTAGCATAAATTAGCATAAAACTAGCCAAACCCTTATTCGGACTGAAAGTTTAGCTAATATTGTTTTGTGCATCTGTATGTTTGAACCGGTGAGAGGAGGGAATGGATTGATTTTATTTAACATTTTGCGGTGAATCCTTGTTAAAATGTCTGCCCTGGTTTGAAAATAATCAATTTCAACTTTCAGGGCTCCAGCTTTTGCCTATTTCACAGTGAATTTCTGAAGAGAGTCACTGCAAAGATTCCAATAACTAATAGTTTTCAATAAATCTGTCATTAGACGATACCTGAGCCCACTAGTTTGTCCAAATATGAGCTTTTCTCTCTCCATTCAAATTCATATGTTGTGCTCATTTTGCCCCATTTTGTTGTTCTTCAGTTGGATCTAAAGTCCTGATTCTGCACAGAGTGAGTGAGAGAGGTGTAGGGTCAGAGAGTTTCTGCCCCTTGCATGAGTGCCTGTGTGCTGTGGCGTCTTGTTTTGTCTCTTTCCATCAGTCGAGTATTGTGTTATTGTATGTATATTACTGTATATGATGGACAGTATTGATTTCTTGTTTATTTTGTAGAGTATTGTGTTGTGTTGAATGAGCGAGAAGCCTTTTTCAAACCCTGAAATCTTATAGTTCCCATGACGATTAGAAGGTACTTTCTATTGACATCTATAGTTCTAGCTTGTCCATGGCTTGTTTTAGTGTGACACAGTATTTTGTTCGGTAATTCAAGAGACAAACACACAACTGCACTGCAAAAAAAGATGATAAATAGGTTTAAAAAAAAGAAAGGGGTCAAATTTGGCTAAATGTATCTTAATTTGAGCACATTGTGACTGCCTTAAAACGAGATTTGCCAATGAGACAAAGCAAAATGATCTTGTTTTAAAAAGATACAAGAAATGTCTCCCTTGGAATGAGAAAATGTAGTCTTGAATAACAACTAAATGGATTTTTTTGGTTAAAATATGCTCAAATTAAGATTAAAAACCACTCGATTCAAGCATTTATTACCTCATTTGATCATTTTTTTGCAGTGTAAACCTTCCACGCGACGATAAAACCCGAAAATTAGTCTCGCGACGACTTTTCAAATAGCTCCAATTCTAATTCTAATAGTCTAGCTCCATGTTGTTGTGTTAAGCAGCCGTATAGTGGGGCAGGGGGCAGGTGATGGGAGACATGGGGGACATAGGGAGTGGTTGGTCAGAGTCCTCAGTGCTGCTGCTGCGCCTCCAGCTCTCTCTGACGACAGCCCACTGCAGTGATGAGAGCCGCCCCTTTCCCGCTGCCGTCCTCCGAGAGCAGGAACGTCACGTCGCACTTAGGGGCCAGGTCTTTCACCGTCTGTTGGAAGATCCGCGAGAAACTGCAGAGAGAAGAGAGAGAGAGAGAGAGACGAGCGAATGGTGATGATCCAGGACATTTGACATTTAAGGACATTGGTCATCTGCCCCTTATGGACCAATGGCTCTATGTGTTTATCTCGCTCTCTCTCTGACTCTCTCTCTCTAGTCTCGCTCCTTCTGTCTCTGTCTTTCAAAAAGTCGATTTTTCATATGTCTCTCTCTCTGTCTCTCTGTGACACACTCGCTCTCTGGTCTCTCTCCTTCTGTCTCTCTGTCTGTCACTCTCTTTTAAAAGTACATTTTTCATGTCTCTCCCTGTCTCTCCCTCTCTCTGTCTGTCTCTCTGTCTCTATCTATATTTCTTTCTCTGTCTGTCTCCCACTCTCTCGATTTTTCACATGTCTTTCTCTCTGTCTCTCTCTCTGGTTTCTCTCCCTCTTTCTCTCTCCTTCAAAAAAAGTCAAATTTTCATGTCTCTTTCAGTCTCCCTCTCTCTCTGGGTCTCTCTCTGTCTGTCTCTCTATTCGTCTCTATGTGTCTGTTTCTCCGTCTCTCTCTCTCGCCCTCTCTCTCCCTCTGTGTCTCTCACACGTTGATTTTTCACATGTCTCTCTCTGTCTCTGTGTGTCTCTCTCTCTCTCTCTCTCTCTCTCTCTCTCTGAGTCGATCTCTGTGTGTGTCTCTGTCTGTATTTCTTTGTTTCTCTGTCGATTTTTCATGTCTCTCGGTGTCTCTCTCTAGCTCCCTCTCTCCGTCTCTGTGTCTCTCTGTCTGTCTCTCTCTGTCTCTGTGTCTCTCTGTCTGTCTCTCTCTCTCTGTCTCTGTGTCTCTCTCTCTGTGTCTCTGTGTCTCTCTCGCTCACACATCTCTCTAAACTAAACCCATTCTTACTGTGGGTGCAGTTTGTAGAGTGTCCCGTCCACTCCCACGGTGACCTCCAGATGCTCCAGGCCTCGGTTCTCTCTGATCTTGTCCACCACGGCGGCCATCCCGGCACCGCAGATCTGCGCGGCGCGATGGGAGATGGTTCCGCACACCTCCTTCACGATGATACTGTCGTCACACGTGCTGTCGAGCCCCAGCTGCTGCAGGATGGACCTCACCTGGAGCAGAGCCAGCCGGTCACTGGACACAGAGAGAGGAGGGGAGAAGACCCAGCCCTGAGGCGTTAAACCAGAGAAATACTGATCTCCACCTGTTTGTAATCCAGGCAAATAGTCTCCTTTATTACCTTATTGTTTCTTTTTCTTATAGTGTTTTAGTTATACACTAAATACAAATCAAATAACATCAATCTATAAATATTAATGCTGAAAATTAATGGGGAACTTAAGTAGCTCCACAAATGTTTCCAGCGATTACATTTGCTAACATTACCCTTGCTCCTGCTTCAATTTCTTGATAGAACCAGACCGGATAACTTTACGCATTTTTCGCCATTGCAAAACTAAGACCTGCTTGTTTGACGCAAACTCTTGACATCACCCACGACTAACTACAACACCCGCCTCCCGCGCTCTTTGATTGGTCGGTATAAATTTAACCAATTGTAATCGCTAACACAGGACCAGACCCAGACTTTACATGCAGGAAATGATGATTGAGCGGAGTGTACGGATGGATAAGGCCAGGCTAAACTTAACCAGCCCTGGGTCATTTAGATTAATTTAGGGTCTATAATCATCATCTTTATCTTGTGGATGCAAACAAATAAATAATAAAACTATGTTCTATATGTCCAGACAACTTACCTTAAATAAGTCTGTTATGCTATATTTTTCTCAAAAAAGTAAATCATACTTGAAATGTGTGTTTTTAAAATAAAATCAAGTAATTTGGGGCTATATTATTTTCTTTCCGAAATCTTGTCAAATATTTTCTCCTATTGGCAGATTATTTTACTTATTTCAAGCAGTATTTTATTTATTTTCATACCTTTTGTTCTTATTTTTTTCTAGGGGTTTTTCCCAGTGTATACAATGCTACAGTATATTTCTGTCTAGCGTCTCACCTCTCTATTTGCGACAGGAACTTGGTCTCAAAGATGGCCCTGGTCTTCAGCGCCTCTGAGATCTGACCTCTGAACAGAAACCCTCGTTTGGTCAAATCCAGGAGAATCTGCCGAACGATCTCTCCCAGGTACATCCCACTGCACATCTTCTCGTATCTGAAACACACACAATCGTCGGCGGAGAACAGACGGAATCAATTAACGCAGCACAAAGAGACGCAGGAGCAACATCTGTGAAAGAGACTGTTGTTGTAACTGCCTCGTCGTTTTCTAAAGAACTAGCCACAAACTATATAAGTATCAAAAGAGACAAGACTAGATTAAAAAGTGCCAATAAACAGATCAGATTAGGGGTGTTCAAAATATCACTCACTCACTCACTCACTCACTCACTCACTCACTCACTCACTCACAGTTTAGTAGCTATGGCTTTAGTCTCCCTGTGCCCTGCTTACCTTCGGTGAGTGAGTTTAGTATCTCTTGAAAGAGTGGCCTACCAACAACTGACATTCTTTTTAAAATTAATAACTTTTTGATATGTTCCAGTCTGGCTTTAGACCCCGCCGCAGCACTGTGACTCCTCTAGTAACAAACGTCTCTCTCTTCTCTGCTTTCCCTCAGTGAGTCAGGTAGTATCTGTATAGCTTTAGTCTCTCTCTCCCCCTCTCTCTCTCTCACCTCTGTTTGCCCTCGTTGAGTGAGTTCTCGTCCACCGCCTGGTCGTAGATGGTGCGGATGTCGTCCAAGCAGCCGTTGTCTCCGAACGCGCCCCACTCCATGTTCACGCACATGCGGCCCTCGTTCCCTTCCACAGTCTCGATGTTCCTCATCTCCTCCATGTAGCAGGCGTTACTGCCCGTCCCTGCACAACAACACAACATTATCCATCCATCCATCAGACAAACAGTGTTCCAGGTCCCTGACCCGCAAGACCCAGTCAAGTTCAATTCTCTGCATGCCCAGAAGTCCAAGTGAGGCCAAGTCTCTGGAGCCCCAAGTCAGGTCTGAGTTTCTGGACCAGAAAAAACAAGTCAAGTCCAAGTCAGGTTCAAGTCTCTGCCCAGGGGTTCAAGTCAAGTCCAGGGTTCTGCACCCACAAGTCCAAGTGAGGTTCCAGACTCCGGATCCACAAGTCCAAGTCTATGGACCCACAAGACCAAGTGAGGTTCAAGTCTCTGGACCCACAAGACCAAGTGAGGTTCAAGTCTCTGGACCCACAAGTCCAAGTCTCTGGACCAAGTCAAGACCAAGTCTCTGACCCGCAAGATCTTAAGGGTACAATTCCAAGATCAAGTCACAGGTCTCTAAACAACATGACTTAAGTCTGACTCAAGTCCAAGTCTGACTCAAGTCCGATGAGTCCGTTGGGCGCGTCCTCATCTCTGATTTATAAAAACCACATAATTCTAAACATAGTAAACTCACCTGCGATCAGTCCCACTTCACATGTGGGCTCCTCGTAGGCACAGGTCATCATGGTCCCCACTGTGTCGTTCACTATGGCAACAACATCCAACTCAAACTCCTGGAAAAACACACAATTAACACACAATATTACTCTATTACTTATTACTCAGACGATGGCGTTCCGGGGCTGAAGCTTTTTGTCATAACCCAAAGGACATAGATTCTCGGACTCCCACTGTTCTGAAACTTCCAGAACTCCCAGAACCGTCATTTAGACTCAATCAAACCAGTGGAATCCTGATGAATTGCCCCAAAAATGTTTAGTTTTCCACAAGATTCATCAAAAGTGTGTAATGTTGGTTTTGACCTTTACTCACTTTACTTTGTGCTAAATCTGGCCCAGAGAACTGGTGCTATGGTAACTAGCATTTGCTCATCTCTGGTGGAAAATCAAGATGAACCAGAACCAGTCCAAGCCTAGTCCAGAACCAATTTAAGACCAGTCCAGAAACAGTCCGGTCCAAGACCAGCCCAAAAACAGTCCAGAATCATTAAAGGACCAGTCCAGGACAAATCCAAGACCAGTCCAAAAACAGTCCAGAATCAATATAAGACCAGTCCAAGACCAGTCCAAGACCAGTCCAAGACCAGTCCAAGACCAGTCCAGCACGAATCAAAGACCTGTCCAGAACCAGTCCAGTACTAGTCTAGAACCAGTCCAAGACCAGTCCAAGACCAGTCCAGGACCAGTCCAGGACCAGTCCAAGACCAGTCCAGCACGAATCCAAGACCTGTCCAGAACCAGTCCAGTACTAGTCTAGAACCAGTCCAAGACCAGTCAAGAACCAGTCCAGGACCATAATTTTCCAAAAAATAATGACATAGAAATAAACAGGACAGAGGAACAGGAGAAGTCACAAAGTCATGAAAACCACAAATACGAGTTATTATACTTCCAAAACGAAAAGCCGTCAAATTGACTGCTCTGGGGGTTCTAGTGTTAAGAAATATTAGACTGATAACATCACAGTAATGGCTGGTTAGAGGCTGACATGGTTTGTGTATGATTAAAGACATGGATATTGGCAGGCCATGTACTGTAGCTTTAAGATGAATGATGACGTCACAGAAGATAAAATCAGTAATGTTGATAAAAAACACATCAAGGCGAACAGTTGATCTCAAGATACTTCACCGATATTAGTTTTATAACAATTTTGGCATAACTCCAACTCCACTCTCCACACAAGACAGTCCACACATTTCTGGAAACACTGATCCCAAAAAAACCAAGTCCCATTAAAGAAAGAAAGACCCAGGTTGTTATCACATGCTGTTTTCTTTGTTCAAATCTCCACACAAGCTTTGTCTGGGTTCGTTTACCTGGGATTAATGAACTACAGCCGTAAATACTTACAGGGTTCTCCACCTACAAGGACACAGTCTGGATTCAGTTTTTAGACATGATGTAAAGGGGGCACTGGAAGGGTTAGAATAGGATTGGAATGGTCTATTTACTTCTGTATTTCAACTTTGAGAGAGGGAGAAAGACACAGATAGACAGAGGGAGAGATACAGAGAGATAGAGACACGCAGATAGAGACAGAGAGAGAGAGACAGATAGACAGAGAGATAGAGAGAGACACAGACAGATAGACAGAGAGATACAGTGCCTTGCGAAAGCATTTGCAGAAAAAACTACTCAACAATTTGAGCTAACATTTGCTAACGTCTTGGCGGGGTATATGCGTTTGATTTCCTTCTTGCAATTACAATAATCCTTTGTAATTAAATGTCGTATTGCCACGCTTAGATCTAGAGCCAACCCTTAATGTTGGGTGTGTGTCTGTGTATCTGTGTGTATCTGCTGCGTGTGTGTGTGTGTGTCTGTGCATCTAATAATAATAATAATACATCAAACTTATATAGCGCTTTCTTGGACACTCAAAGACGCTTCACATGGGGAGTAAAATACAATAATAAAAAGGGGTTTACGGAAAAGCTTGTTTGAAAAGATGGGTTTTGAGTACTGATTTAAAGTTTGATAGTGAGTCGGAGTTTCTAATGAGCAGTGGGAGTGAGTTCCAGAGGGTTGGGGCGGCAATGGCAAAAGCTCTGTCCCCCAAGGTTCGGCGGTTAGTGCGGGTGATGGGGGTGAGGAGGTTGGAATTGGCTGAGCGAAGGCGGCGGGTGGGTTGGTGCTGCTGTAGGAGCTCAGTAAGGTAGGGCGGGGCCAGGTTATGGAGGGACTTGTAGGTGAGGAGAAGGAGCTTGTAATGGATGCGGTATTGAACGGGGAGCCAGTGGAGCTGCTGGAGGACAGGGGTGATGTGTTCTCTGGACCGGGTGTGGGTGAGGAGGCGGGCTGCAGAGTTCTGGATGTATTGCAGTTTTTGGAGATGAGTGGTGGGAAGTCCGTAGAGGAGGCTGTTGCAGTAGTCGAGTCTGGAGGTGATGAATGCGTGGATGAGGATTTCGGCTGTTGACTGGGTAAGGGAGGGGCGGAGGCGGGCAATGTTGCGGAGGTGGAAGAAGGAGGTTTTGGTGATGTGTTTGATGTGGGTTTGGTATGAAAGGGTGGAGTCCAATATGATGCCAAGGTTGCGTACAGAGGATGAGGGTGTGACAGTGTGACCGTCAATGAGGAGGGTGAAGTTCTGGACAGAGGGCAGGAGAGTTTTGGGGCTGATGATGAGGAGTTCTGTTTTGTTACTGTTGAGTTTGAGAAGGTTATTGTCCATCCAGGTTTTAATGTCGGAGATGCAATTTTCGATGGTGGAGCGAATAACCGGGGTGATGGATTTGGTGGAGATGTAGAGTTGCGTGTCATCGGCATAACAGTGGAAATGGAGTCCATGATGGCGGATGATCTGACCGAGGGGAAGCATGTAGATGGTGAAGAGGAGAGGGCCGAGCACGGAACCTTGGGGGACACCGTGGGTGACGGGGGAAGTGTGGGACTTGCAGTTGTTGACAGACACGAAGTGGAGACGATTGGAGAGGTAAGAGGTGAACCAGAGGAGTGCTGTGCCAGAAATTCCAATGGATTGTAGACGGTGGAGGAGGATGGAATGATCTATTGTGTCAAATGCAGCGGAGAGATCGAGGAGAAGGAGGATGGATAAGGAACCAGAGTCGGCAGCGAGGAGGAGGTCGTTAGTAACTTTGAGAAGTGCTGTTTCTGTGCTGTGGTGTGTACGGAATCCAGATTGAAATGTTTCGAAGAGATGGGAGGAGTGGAGATGTTGGTGGATTTGGTTGATGACGGCGCGTTCCAGGATTTTTGACAGTAACGGGAGGTTGGAGATGGGTCGAAAGTTGTCCAAGTTGTCAGGGTTGAGGCCGGGTTTTTTCAGGAGGGGTGTGATGGAGGCTAGTTTGAGCGGGGAAGGGACAGAACCAGAGGTTAGGGAAGTGTTGATGATGCGGGTGATGAGAGTTAGTTGACAGGTTTTGAGGAGGGAAGATGGGATTGGATCAAGCTGACAGTTGGAAAATTTCATGGTTGAGAGAAGTTTGGTGGTGTCAGAGGGAGAGAGGGGGGAGAAGGAAGGAAGGCTATGGACTGTGGGTGCAGTGGGTTCAAGTTCGGAGTAGGGAGAAGAGGAGGAAGTGGAGGCAAGTGAACAGTGTATGGTATGGATTTTGGTATGGTAGAATGACAGGTAGTTATTGCATTTGTCTGTAGTGAATGTGGAGGTTATATTGTCCTTGGGTTTTGTCAGATTTGCAAAAGTTGAGAATAGGGTGCGGGGGTTGGAAGAATTTGAGTGGATGAGTTGTGAATAGTAGTTGGACCGGGCAGTTTTGAGAGCAGAGTTGTATGTGGTTGTGGCTTGTTTGTAGGCTTGTGCATGAACGAGGAGACCAGTTTTTATATGGAGCCTTTCAAGTTGTCCCTTTTGTTTTTTGAGACTGTGGAGATCTGGGGTATACCAAGGGGCGGAGGTAGAGAAGGAGACTGAGGCAGTTTTCATGGGGGCAATTTGGTTGAGGCAGGAGGAGAGTGTGTGGTTATAGAAAGTGACTAGATCGGAGGCAGATGGATCTGAAGGGAGGGAAGAGCTGGATAGGGCATGGGATATGGAGGAGGAGAGAGATATGGGACAAATGGACTTAAGATTTCGGAAAGTAATTGTTTGTGTCTGGTGGTGGGAGAGGGGGTAATTATGTCCAGGGTGATGGCCAGATGATCAGAAATGGTCAGGTCGGTGAGTGACAGGTTGTGTATGGTGAAGGAGGGGGTGGAACAGACCAGATCCAGGATGTGTCCATGGTTGTGTGTGGGTGAAGTGACGTGCTGGGTGAGGTTGAGACAGTTTAAAATGTCCAAAAAGTCAGATGTAAATTTAACTGTAGGGGAGTCAATATGAATGTTGAAGTCACCAAGGAGGAGAACGGATGGAGAAATGGAGGACAGCTGAGTTACGAAATCAGTAAAATCTGAGAGAAATGATGAGCAGGTTTTGGGAGGGTGGTAGATGACTGCAGCAATGAGTGATTGGGAACCGGGAAGTCTGAAGGCCAGGTGTTCGAATGAAGATACAGCCGGGATGGAGATGGGGCGGAGGGAGATGTTGCTGCGGTGGATGACTGCAATGCCACCTCCTCTCCGGTCTAGGCGTGGGTTATCGATGTAGGAATATCCAGGTGGGGTGGTCTGATTTAATGTGGTGTAATCCATGGGTTTGTGCCAGGTTTCAGTGAGACAAAGTATGTCCAGTTTATTGTCAATGATGAATTCACAGAGGAGCAGGCTTTTATTGCTGAGTGACCGTGTATTGAATAGTGCTGTTTTTAGAGGCTTTTGTTGTGAAGTTTGTGTGGCAGAAATTGGGACAGACAGGAGGTTTGATGTAGTCACGTGATGAGTGCTCTGATGACGTATGCGGATGTTGTTGGAACCAAGCCGGTGTGAGCTGCGCATGGATCTGCAGGCGGACCAGACAGAGGGAATATTGCTTTTGCCTGTGAAATTGAAGACAAGATTGCGACGGGACCCTCGGTGGATGTAGGGGCGACGGCGGACAAGACAGTGTTGTTGCAGAGTTGAGGTGATGTCCAGTGAAGGAGGTGCGCGGTGGTTGAGTCTGATGAGCTGTGAGGACGTGTAACGAAGCGCCATGGACGGAGCCGGTGTTGACAGGAGCCGCAGAGAGGCCAGCAGGAAAGCCACGAACAGTAGCCGCATAGCTGGCTGGCTGCTCCGGGGTGCAGGCCGGCCAGTAACCGGGCTGTAATCCGCTGATTGAGAAGAGCACAGCGCGGCTTGGCCGGAGGCAGCCCCGGGAGCAAGCGTGATGGTGGGCACAGCAGGGACACACGGTGACAGGCTGTAGCAGGCGGCAGACGCGGGCAATCAGTCAAGGAAACAGTCCAGGCGCCGATGCATCAGTCAAAAATCGGTACGTTAAACCGTTTACTTTTAGCAAAAACAAACTTTTTCGTCCGGAGTGAGAAGCGGCAGCAAAAACGCGCCCGCGTCCTCTCGCATCCGGGTCATATGTTTTTTTTTGTGTGTATCTGCTGCGTGTCTGTGCATCTGTGTGTGTGTCTGTGCATCTGTGTGTATCTACTGCGTGTCTGTGTGTGTGTGTGTCTGTGCATCTGTGTGTGTGTGTGTGTGTGCATCTGTGTGTATCTGCTGCGTGTCTGTGTGTGTGTGCATCTGTGTGTGTGTGTGTGTGCATCTGTGTGTGTGTCTGTGTGTCTGTGCATATCTGCTGCGTGTCTGTGTGTGTGTGCATCTGTGTGTATCTGCTGCGTGTCTGTGCATCTGTGTGTGTGTGTGTGTGTGTGTGTGTGTGTGTGTGTGTGTGTGTGTGTGTGTGTGTGTGTGTGTGTGTGTGTGTGACTATTATTATTATTATGAATAAGATGTTGTTCCTGATGCCCGTAACAGTGTGTTTGTGTTTTGGGGTCGTCAGGTGCATTTTTATGAATAAATCCATATTATTCTCATGTCTCAAAGTCCATTCCACTCAAAGGCCAACATCCTGCATTTGTTTTTGAATATTGTCACCACTTATAGACACCTTTTTATGACAAAATAAAGAGACCATAGTTGACATGTGCTGACACAGTTTTTTGTGAGTTTGTGATTCATGTGGACACTCTCAAACTAAACTAAGAAATCTGACTTGTTGACAGTTACAATCGCTACTAAGACTTTCCAGCTGTCCTCCACCACTATGTAAACCATAGGCTCTTTGGAATATTGTGATGTCACATGAATGCTGTTGGTACCTCTTTCCTCTTGATGGCCTCTCGCAGCAGCTCCACCACGTCCTCTCCTTCACAGTCTGTGGCTTTGAAGCCTTTGGTCCAAGTCACAAGGATCCCCTGAAAAACACACATTTAATCATTTCAACAAAAAGATATAAGTCATTTTTATCTTTGAGAGCCATGTTTCCATTGTGACTTAAAGCAGCAGTATGTAAAAATCTGGCCAAAAGTGGTACTGCAGCCTCTCCCACTCTCCCTGACTCAGGTTGCCAGATATGCAGACGAATCCAGCTGGGACCATAACAGCTGAATAGACAAGAGTTTAGTCAACAACAAATCTATAACCAACACCTTTTTCACAAAGATAGAAATCCTGGTTTTATTCCTTGTTTTGTCGTGAATGATTTAAGAATCATAACGAGACCTATTTTAGTTCCACGACCACATGGTACTTTACCAGTGAGATTAGCTCGACACTGTGAGTTCTGGCGCCCGGATCACAGACTTTCTGATTGGTGAAACAGTGGAGGGCAGGACATCGAAATGAAACCAAAAACAAAATTTTTGGGCTGTAAAACTAATTTTAAAATCCAAATATCTCTGAACTACTGTTGTCAGTTAAAGAAGTGTTGGAAATAACATGTTTTATTAATGCCATTTGACAGATTAGGGCCCTTTAATGATGACTTGACATGACAATCTTGAAAACATTTTGCTAACTTTGATGTTTAATATTTTGGCCAGTTGTGTGAGCGTCGATAAGACATCTCCTGCCTTTGTTTGATATGAATGTAAAAATGTAAAATGGGTCGTGAACTTACGGCGTCCAGGCTGGTCTGATGGCACGGGAAGGAGAAGGTGAAGCCCAGAGGAAGACGAGCGCTCTTCATCCCCATGTAATCCAGGAAGTCCGAGATGCAGTGAACAATGTGGTCGAATAACTGCACAGAACACACACGTTTTTGTTCACACTCACAGTTAATGTGAATAGAAGGTAATGGGTTCGAATCCCAGTCGGAACAGGGCCTTTCTGAGTGAAGCTTGTAAGTTCACTGCAAAAAATGATAAAATATGTGGTAATATTTGCTTGAATCGAGTGGTTTTTGTCTTAATTTAAGTTCATTCTGACTGCGTTAACTAGATTCACCAACGGGACAAAGCTTTTTAGTCTTATTTCAAGAACTGTGGCTTTAATTTCTCATTAACGGAGACATTTCTTGTATTTTGTATTTCAAAAACAAGATTATTTTACTTCTCCCATTGAATAATTGTGTTGTAGGGCAGTCAAAATGTGCTCAACTCTAGATACATTTTGCCAAATGTTAGCAATTGTTTTCTTATTTTTCATCATTTTTTGCAGTGGTCTCCCCTTGTATGCTCCGGTTTCCTCCTGGTGCTCCAGTTTCCCCTATCATGTACCCTATTTATTTCTGGCTTTGTTGTTTGTGGTTGTGTATTTTTTATCTGTAGCACTTTGAGGTTTTCCTGGAAATATAAGGTGCACTATAAATAAATAAAATGTATTATTATTATTATTATTGTTATTACTAAAAAACAGCAGGCAAAGTCCTCCAGCTTCGGTACTCTTGACCAACAAACAAACGTATAGAGAGCTCCACCTCTTCTCCTGTGCCCTGCATCACTTCTATGGGGATGGCGTAGATCTTGTTGTGCATCTCGACCGTTCGCCGTTTGCCGCTGCGGATCTTCACCAAAAGCACACGGAAGTTTGTGCCTCCCAAGTCCAGGGCCAAGAAGTCTCCATTCTCTAAAACACAAATATTCCAGGTTCAAAACAGGTCTGTAGGTCAGGTCTGATGTTAGGATTTTCTCCTCACTCTTTTTAATGCACTGTGATTATTCATGATTTTAAGTTTTGTCCAGCACTTTGAGTTGTAAGTAAGTAAGTAAGTAATCTTTTATTTATATACCGCCTTTTCACTGCACATCGGAGTCTCAAAGCTTGTGTGTGAACTGTGATATACATATACACTTGCCTTTCAAACATGACTTAAAGCTGGGGAACCTAACTTTGAAAGCACAAAACAATGGAACTATGTCATAAAATCCAACATCCAAACCCTTATTATCTATATACCCTACTATACTCTAATCTAGACCTCCATCCATCCATGTCCTTCCTCTTTGTCCAAGTGGCAATCAGCGGCCACCCACAGGAGGACAGTATAGCCTTTATTGTTCAGCGGGGGCTTCAGGCAAAGTTGGGTTAAGTGTCTTGCCCAAGGCCACAACGACAGCAGACCTTAGCGGGAGTTGGTGGAAAAGGTCTCACGGTGAACTTGAACCCATTACTTTCAGGCTCAAAGGCCCAAAACTCGAGCCACTGTCGCTCATAAAATCTAGACCTAGCATCAGAAATGTGATGGATATTGTCTAAACTATATATCCATAATAATAAATAGCACTGGACTAATGCTAACCTCGTCTGCAGCTAGAAGCGCAGACATCTGTGCGAGTTATGAATCTATAAACAGAGGTGTGATATAATTTAGATAGTGGTTTTATTGCGTCTGGTAAAAGATCAAACGCAGAACTTGCCCGACCCAAGTTTTTATGATGGAGGTTAACCGGTGACGTTTTAAATACTACTATTTCCTCGTACATAATTCCCATAGTTTCACTTTCAGCTGCTGTTTCACACAGTCCCACACGTTCAAAGCCTTTTTATAAGTACTTTTCGTGACTTTTCATCTCACATTTGCAGTCTGTCTGTCAGTTCTGTTATGAGGCTATATATTCATTTATTCAACACTAAGAGCTGCTTTTGAAACATATCTGCATTTGGGGAAAACTGACAACAAATTGCTGTGTATTCTCAAAATCTACAGCCCGAGTCCTGGATCTACAGCCCGAGTCCTGGATCTACAGCCCGAGTCCTGGATCTACAGCCCGAGTCCTGGATCTACAGCCCGAGTCCTGGATCTACAGCCCGAGTCCTGGATCTACAGCCTCAGTCCTGGATCTACAGCCTCAGTCCTGGATCTACAGCCTCAGTCCTGGATCTACAGCCTCAGTCCTGGATCTACAGCCTCAGTCCTGGATCTACAGCCTCAGTCCTGGACCTACAGCCTCAGTCCTGGACCTACAGCCTCAGTCCTGGATCTACAGCCTCAGTCCTGGATCTACAGCCTCAGTCCTGGATCTACAGCCCGAGTCCTGGATCTACAGCCCGAGTCCTGGATCTACAGCCCGAGTCCTGGATCTACAGCTCGAGTCCTGGATCTACAGCCCGAGTCCTGGATCTACAGCCCGAGTCCTGGATCTACAGCCTCAGTCCTGGATCTACAGCCTCAGTCCTGGATCTACAGCCTCAGTCCTGGATCTACAGCCTCAGTCCTGGATCTACAGCCTCAGTCCTGGATCTACAGGAGCCTGTCCATCAGCGGTACAAGAACCCTCTCTCTATATGGGCCTCCCCAAGGTTTCTCACTTTCTTCCCACTGGGTTTTTGATGGGTTCTTTGCCGATGTAGAAGGCTCTAGGGACAGTGACGATCTGGGACATTTGTGGACATTAGTCAACATTGAAATGAATTGAATGTACATTGATGTCGCTCCTCTAAAGGAAAAGTAAGCTCCCTTTCTCATCTTAAACAAATTAGATCTGTGAATTTATTTCCGTCCCAAATTTTGTTTCATACTAAATATATTTCACATTGACTGTTGACAGTGTTCCCTCATCTCAAACCGCTCTCAAACTACAGAGACAACAATTCCAAAATGGCCGCCATCTTGATAATGTCACAATATGCAAATTAGATGACAAATCTTCTTTCACCACAAATGTTGGTTCACACTGAAGATATTTCTCGTCTACATTATGCCTTTATCTCAAACCACTTTAAAGTTATTGCCTTTTGAATTCTATATGTCATAATTGTGTGTGCCCCCCCCTCACCTGTGCCGTCGGGTGTCGTCCGGACAAACGTGGGCAGCATCTTGACCGTAGCCTCTTGGTGCGTGTTTTTGCCCAGTCCTCTCTCGATCTCCACCTTCATGCGTTTCTTGACCTCCAGCAGCTGTGCTTTGCTGAGCCTGAACTCGGCGAGCGTCTGCTGGATCTGCCGGGCCTGGTCCGTGAGGCGGTAGGCCACAGCCGTCACCATCGCCGCCCCTTTCCCACTGCCGCTCTCAGACAGAAGGAACCGCACGTCCGAGTCCGGGACCAGGCGCCGCACGGTTTTGTGCAGTCGACGGGCGTATCTGCACACAGGGAATGCACGTATGAACAGGTGTAGCTCGAGTCCGGACTAGAACCAGAAAGTACGACCACATTAGTCCAGTTCACGGGTCTTTGCTCTGGCTTCCTGTGGCTCAGAAAATAGACTTTATAGCAGCTCTGTGTGTGTTCAAGTCTCTCCATGGCCTCGCACCATAGTACATTTGTGTTAGTGCCACATGAACCATCTGGGACTCTGAGGAGCACAGGGACTGGCCTCCTGCTGGGACTATGAGGAGCACAGGGACTGGCCTCCTGCTGGGACTATGAGGAGCACAGGGACTGGCCTCCTGCTGGGACTATGAGGAGCACAGGGACTGGCCTCCTGCTAGGACTCTGAGGAGCACAGGGACTGGCCTCCTGCTGGGACTCTGAGGAGCACAGGGACTGGCCTCCTGCTGGGACTATGAGGAGCACAGGGACTGGCCTCCTGCTGGGACTCTGAGGCGCACAGGGACTGGCCTCCTGCTGGGACTATGAGGAGCACAGGGACTGGCCTCCTGCTGGGACTATGAGGAGCACAGGGACCGGCCTCCTACTGGGACTCTGAGGGGGACAAGGACCTACAATCTGAACCCTGAGGACCACCAGGGTCCCTGGACCTCTTTCCCACAACATGTTAAGAACTCGAACTCACTTCATAACTTCCAATACCTACTAAAAACCCACCTTTGAAACTGCCTACACTCAACCTGTAAATTTTAGCTTTTTGCTTTTGCTTCTTGTCAACCTGTCCCTTTGTAAAGTGTCTCTAACTAAGTGTCAATAAAAGCCTATTTAATTACTATGTATTATCATCTGTGAATGGAATGTCTGTTATTAATCAAAGAAACCAAAATAATGCCAGGCAGGTGGAGAGGCATCACTGAACTCACTGTGGGTGCATCTTGTAGAGCGATCCGTCGATGCCCACGGTGGTCCGCAGTCGGGCCACTCCCTTGTTGTCCTTGAGGCGGCTGAGGATGGCGCCCAGAGTGGCAGAGATGAGGTTGGCCGAGCGGAACGACACGATGGTGCAAACGTGCTGCACGGCCAGACAGTCCTCGTCCGACGGCTCCACTCCCAGACCGGTGAGGATCTGCATGCACTTCTTCAGACCCTCCTTAGACCTGACACAGAGGGGGGCGGGGTTACTGCTGTTGTCAAGGCAACTTCAGCATCCAACATCTGCTCATCGATGACTTTCTGTTTCAAACCTCTAAATTATAAACATATGAGGAAGTGGTTCATGACAGAATTTTAGTGATTAACAAATTCTGCTCCTTAACCCTGAGAATGAGTGATGAAGTGGTTCGGTGATAGGTAGTGTCACCTGTAGACATTGACTTTAACTTCCTTGTATATATGTGTAGGCGTGTATGTATGTAGGTATATGTGTGTATGTATGTATGTACTGTAAGTAAGTAAAGGTTTTTTTCTTTATTTGTGTTAAAACTGATGTATTATTATTATTAAAGAAATCCATCCAAATCTGTTTTTATATACTACTACTACTACTACTACCACTAAAATGAATTCAAACTCACTTCTCGATGGCGGAAACGTGCTTGGTCTGGATGGTTCCTTTGGTCAGGAGTTCTGGAGTGATGCGTCCTTCAAACAGAAGTCCCTCTTTGGCCATTTTCACCAGGATCAGACGGACCAGCTCCCCGATGTACATCCCACTGGCCATTTTCTCAAACCTGAGACAATTAGCATGTGTGTCACTTACAACTGTTAAGGTGGATCAATAAAAATGTTGGAAATGGATGGAGTCTGCTGTGCTCCTGCTTGGCTGAATAGACTCCTGCAGCCACAGACCGAGTTGCTTAGCCATGGTCTATGGTATGAACTCACATTTTCACTTTTGTATATTCTAGAGAGAGGCCAGAGGGAAGCCAGAGAGAGGCCAGAGAGAGGCCAGAGAGAGGCCAGAGAGAGAGACCAGAGAGAGACCAGAGAGAGAGACCGAGCAGAGAGACCAGAGAGAGGCCAGAGGGAAGCCAGAGAGAGACCAGAGAGAGACCAGAGGGAAGCCAGAGAGAGGCCAGAGAGAGACCAGAGAGAGGCCAGAGAGAGACCAGAGAGAGGCCAGAGAGAGACCAGAGAGAGGCCAGAGAGAGACCAGAGACCAGAGAGAGGCCAGAGAGAGACCAGAGAGAGACCAGAGAGAGGCCAGAGAGAGGCCAGAGAGAGGCCAGAGAGAGACCAGAGAGAGACCAGAGAGAGACCAGAGAGAGGCCAGAGAGAGGCCAGAGAGAGACCAGAGAGAGACCAGAGAGAGACCAGAGAGAGACCAGAGAGAGACCAGAGAGGGGTGCTCCGCTCTGAAAAAAGACTGAGGTGTCTGTTCTGGAGTTCTTGACAAATCCAGACTCTTAAACTGAGATCTTAGTATAATCACTGAATCTTCTGGCCCCTGGAAAAAAATCCATGTTCCAGCTTCTTCCCTCTGGCAGAAGATATCGTTCTCTGAGATGCAGGACATGCTAACGCGCTAACAGCTTCTTTCCACAAACTTATGAATCTGAACAAAGCACTTTAAGATCTTACACTTTTTGTTGATTGCTTCCACATTGTTTTATGTATGTACTTGTCTGGTGCACACTGGGGACTCTCGCACATGTATTCCAATGTGGTTTTACTGCAAATGGCAACTCGACTGAATCTGAATCTACAAAGACCATCACTCGGTCCCACTCACAGCTGTTTCCCCGGGTTGACGGATCCTCGGTCGATCTCGCGGTCGAACTCGGTGCGGATGTCTTCCAGGGACCCGTTGTCTCCGAACGACCCCCACTCGGTGTTGATGCACATGCGGCCCTCGTCCCCCTCCACCAGGTCGATGTGCCGCAGCTCCTCCATGTAGCAGGCGTTTGTGCCGGTCCCTGAGACACACGACACACACAATCTCTTTACAGCTGTGTCGTCTGATGGAGCTAAAACAAAGTCACTACAACCAGAGATGAGCAAGATTCTCATTATGAAATTGTATTGGAAATAGCGGCCATTAGCAAAAACTATCGTACCAACATTTGCAATTCATTTCATGTTTCTTATAAAAACCAGTGTGTATTATTAACGGCTTATTAACCTTGCTTGCTCGGTCTGTACAGAGAAATATCAGACCGCGGCCTTAATGTACAGACCGAGCCGTGGTGAGGTCTGTGCAAAAAGACCAAGGTCTGATACAGACCGAGCAAGCAAGGTTAATAAATGTTTAATTATATGACTGTGTCTTTACCAATACTTTTGAGATATTTGTGAAGTATGTTCATGTCCGACTTGGTTTTGAGTGATACGCGCTGTGGACCGATTGTCATGGTAACGGTCCGTGGAAAGATATCAAATGTGATATGCGCTGTTTGGACCAATTGTCATGGTAACGGTCCGAGATGGGAAAATATCAGACCGCAAATCAACAATCAGAGCGTGTGTACGGTCCAAGTCATATAATAAACCAGTGTATAGACCTTCATCCACTTGTATATACTTACTTGTATAGAACTTGCTTAAAGCTATCTTGTTTTGTTCAGCACTTTGAGTTGCCTTGTGTATATATTTTGCTATACAAAAAAACTTTCCTTGCCGCGCTTATAATGATAGTATTTTATATGTCGTGGTTCTTGTGTTCTCTCAGATCTCAAAATATATTTCACTCAACCAATGATTTTATGCTGCTATATGATGTGGTTCTTGTATTAGCATTGTAAAGCATTTCAATTCTCTCAAATCTGAAAACATACGCTTTAAAAAAAAAAGTATTATTATGATCTGCAATGACATGTAAGTACTAAGGCTAATACACGTAAGAACTTCCACCATGCAGTAATCTGTGTTCTACATGGTAAACTATGGACTTTGGCGCCATCTTCTGTTGAACTGTGGTTATTGTTGTGGTGGCTCTTAAAATCCATCGATCCAATGTATTAACATCAGGAGCTGGGTTTATGAATGGCTGAATGTCTGATCTAGAGAAGAAAACGTATAGATTTGTGGATTATTGATACTTTATATGTATCATATTTTACATCTGTGGCTGTGTTTAAGGTTGGGATTTCAAAGTAGTAAATGTTCAGAGTAAAAGTGGTTCTCCAAGTTATATACTGCGACACACAGATTACTTTTATACAATATGAGTTTTTTCAGGACAAAAATCAGTTCAGTTTCAGTTTCTTTGGATTGAACCAAAATTGAATCCTCCCTACCAGAGAGAGTAGGGAGAGACCAGAGAGAGTAGGGAGAGACCAGAGAGAGTAGGGAGAGACCAGAGAGAGACCAGAGAGGGACAAGAGAGAGACCAGAGAGAGACACCAGAGAGAGAGGCAAGAGAGAGAGGCCAGAGAGAGAGGCCAGAGATAGATCAGAGAGAGACCAGAGAGAGACCAGAGAGAGTAGGGAGAGACCAGAGAGAGACCAGAAAGAGAGGAGAGAGACCAGAGAGAGACCAGAGAGAGAGACCAGAGAGAGACCAGAGAGAGAGACCAGAGAGAGACGAGAAAGAGACCAGAGAGAGGCCAGAGAGATACCAGAAAGAGAGACCAGAGAGAGACCAGAGAGATACCACAGAGAAATACCAGAGAGAGACCAGAGAGAGAGACTAGGGACCAGGGAGAGACCAGAGAGAGATCTATTACATATTGCCGGTCTTTTTTGACTCCTATTCTCAAATAAAAAATTGACCAACATATGCAGTCATGTGTGTGGTATGGACCGTATAGACCCGAGAATAGGACCATATGTGACCCGCGGGCCACAGGTCTGGTCTCACTGGTCTCAGTCTTTCACCTGGATCCATCTGGTTGACTTTCCGTGTGTGTGTGTGTGTGTGTGTGTGTGTGTGTGTGTGTGTGTGTGTGTGTGTGCGTGTGTGTGTCTCTTTGAAAGCCTGTGACCTTTGATCTGTCTCTGTTGTCATGACAAACAGAAGATGTTGTTACCGATAATAATGCCCACTTCGCAGCGCTGGTCGTCGAAGCCACAGGTCATCATGGTTCCTGTGGTGTCGTTCACTACGGCCATGATGTCTGCCTGGTAATCCTGGAACAGCACATGCACACGGTTTTATTTAGTATCGGCAGATGGAAGACAAAGTATTGGATCTTTTTTTTTTACTTTCATTGTCTGCAGTAAATGTCTCTGCATGGGCCTGTCTGAGCTTTCTCACATTCTGACCACTGTTGTTCTTTGCTGATGATGTGTTTGTTATCATTTACTGTGGGCGAATTGTGGCTGATTCTTTGATCTGCTATCGGTAAATCCACAACTTTGCAAACTCCTCTGAGATTTGCTGCTGTCGTGATTTAGGGCTGTACAAAAATACATACAAATTGAATTGAATTTCTAATGTCAATTTTGATTATCTGGTCTCTCTGGTCTCTCTCTCGGGTCTCTCTCGGGCCTCTCTCTGGTCTCTCTCTGGTCTCTCTCTCTGGTCTCTCTCTCTGGTCTCTCTCTCGGGTCTCTCTCTCGGGTCTCTCTCTCGGGTCTCTCTCTCGGGTCTCTCTCTCGGGTCTCTCTCTCGGGTCTCTCTCTCGGGTCTCTCTCTCGGGTCTCTCTCTCGGGTCTCTCTCTCGGGTCTCTCTCTCTGGCCTCTCTCGGGCCTCTCTCGGGCCTCTCTCTGGTCTCTCTCTGGTCTCTCTCTTCTCTCTCTCTGGTCTCTCTCTCTGGTCTCTCTCTCTCTGGTCTCTCTCTCTGGTCTCTCTCTCTGGTCTCTCTCTCTGGTCTCTCTCTCTGGTCTCTCTCTCTGGTCTCTCTCTCTGGTCTCTCTCTCTGGTCTCTCTCTCGGGTCTCTCTCTCGGGTCTCTCTCTCGGGTCTCTCTCTCGGGTCTCTCTCTCGGGTCGCTCTCTCGGGTCGCTCTCTCGGGTCGCTCTCTCTGGTCGCTCTCTCTGGTCGCTCTCTCTGGTCGCTCTCTCTGGTCGCTCTCTCTGGTCTCTCTCTCTGGTCTCTCTCTCTGGTCTCTCTCTCAGGTCTCTCTCTCAGGTCTCTCTCTCGGGTCTGTCTCTCGGGCCTCTCTCTGGTCTCTCTCTCGGGTCTGTCTCTCGGGTCTCTCTCTCGGGCCTCTCTCCGGTCTCTCTCCGGTTGCTCTCTGGTCTCTCTCTGGTCTCTCTCTGGTCTCTCTCTCTGGTCTCTCTCTGGTCTCTCTCTGGTCGCTCTCTGGTCTCTCTCTCTGGTCTCTCTCTGGTCTCTCTCTTGGGTCTCTCTCTCGGGTCTCTCTCTCGGGTCTCTCTCTCGGGTCGCTCTCTCGGGTCGCTCTCTCGGGTCGCTCTCTCGGGTCGCTCTCTCGGGTCGCTCTCTCTGGTCGCTCTCTCTGGTCGCTCTCTCTGGTCTCTCTCTCTGGTCTCTCTCTCAGGTCTCTCTCTCGGGTCTCTCTCTCGGGTCTCTCTCTCGGGCCTCTCTCCGGTCTCTCTCCGGTTGCTCTCTGGTCTCTCTCTCTGGTCTCTCTCTGGTCTCTCTCTGGTCTCTCTCTGGTCTCTCTCTGGTCTCTCTCTGGTCTCTCTCTCTGGTCTCTCTCTGGTCTCTCTCTGGTCTCTCTCTCTGGTCTCTCTCTCTGGTCTCTCTGTCTAGTCTCTCTCTGGTCTCTCTCTCTGGTCTCTCTCTGTCCTCTCTCTCTTTGGCCTCTCTCTCTCTGGCCTCTCTCTCTGGTCTCTCTCTCTGGTCTCTCTCTCTGGTCTCTCTCTCTGGTCTCTCTCTCTGGTCTCTCTCTCTGGCCTCTCTCTCTGGCCTCTCTCTCTGGCCTCTCTCTCTGGCCTCTCTCTCTGGCCTCTCTCTCTGGCCTCTCTCTCTGGTCTCTCTCTCTGGTCTCTCTCTCTGGTCTCTCTCTCTCTGGTCTCTCTCTCTCTGGTCTCTCTCTCTCTGGTCTCTCTCTCTCTGGTCTCTCTCTGTCCTCTCTCTCTGGCCTCTCTCTCTGGCCTCTCTCTCTGGCCTCTCTCTCTGCTCTCTCTCTGGCCTCTCTCTCTCTGGTCTCTCTCTCTCTGGTCTCTCTCTGGTCTCTCTCTGGTCTCTCTCTCTGGTCTCTCTCTGGTCTCTCTCTCTGGTCTCTCTCTCTGGTCTCTCTCTCTGGCCTCTCTCTCTTTGGCCTCTCTCTCTCTGTCCTCTCTCTCTTTGGCCTCTCTCTCTCTGGCCTCTCTCTCTGGTCTCTCTCTCTCTGGTCTCTCTCTCTGGTCTCTCTCTCTGGTCTCTCTCTCTGGTCTCTCTCTCTCTCTGGTCTCTCTCTCTGGTCTCTCTCTCTGGCCTCTCTCTCTGGCCTCTCTCTCTGGCCTCTCTCTCTCTGGCCTCTCTCTCTCTGGCCTCTCTCTCTTGGCCTCTCTTTGTCATCTCTCTCTCTGGTCTCTCTCTAGTCTCTCTCTGGCCTCTATCTGGCCTCTCTCTCTTTGGCCTCTCTCTCTGCCCTCTCTCTCTGGCCTCTCTCTCTCTGCCCTCTCTCTCTGGCCTCTCTCTCTGGTCTCTCTCTCTCTGGTCTCTCTCTCTGGCCTCTCTCTCTCTGGCCTCTCTCTCTCTGGCCTCTCTCTCTCTCTGGCCTCTATCTGGCCTCTCTCTCTTTGGCCTCTCTCTCTGACCTCTCTCTCTGGCCTCTCTCTCTCTGGTCTCTCTCTCTGGTCTCTCTCTCTGGTCTCTCTCTCTGGCCTCTCTCTCTCTGGCCTCTCTCTCTCTGGTCTCTCTCTCTCTTGGTCTCTCTCTGGTCTCTCTCTGGTCTCTCTCTCTGGTCTCTCTCTCTGGTCTCTCTCTCGGCCTCTCTCTCTGGCCTCTCTCTCTGGCCTCTCTCTCTGGCCTCTCTCTCTGGCCTCTCTCTCTGGCCTCTCTCTCTGGCCTCTCTCTCTGGCCTCTCTCTCTGGTCTCTCTCTCTGGTCTCTCTCTCTGGCCTCTCTCTCTGGTCTCTCTCTCTGGTCTCTCTCTCTGGTCTCTCTCTCTGGTCTCTCTCTCTGGTCTCTCTCTCTGGTCTCTCTCTCTGGTCTCTCTCTCTGGTCTCTCTCTCTGGTCTCTCTCTCTGGTCTCTCTCTCTGGTCTCTCTCTGGTCTCTCTCTCTGGTGTCTCTCTCTGGTCTCTCTCTCTGGTCTCTCTCTCTGGTCTCTCTCTGGTCTCTCTCTGGTCTCTCTCTGGTCTCTCTCTGGTCTCTCTCTGGTCTCTCTGGTCTCTCTCTCTGGTCTCTCTGGCCTCTCTCGCTCTGGTCTCTCTGGTCTCTCTCTCTGGTCTGTCTGGTCTCTCTCTGTCCTCTCTCTGGTCTCCCTCTCTCTGATCTCTCTATGGTCTCTTCCAGAACCAGAGCGAACTTCCATGTGGGCGGGACTTCTCAGCTCAATACGACCATGAAACATTGATTCATTTTTATAAATATAGAAATACATAAATATAAGTTGAATATTGCATAAGTGGACACAGACTCACCCCTCTCTTCTTGATGGCTTTGTTCAGCAGTTTAACCACATCCATTCCTTCGACGCCACTGGACTTAAACTTCTTTGTCCACGTCAATAAAACTGCCTGAAAACAGAGGGTTTTATGAGAACAGCTTTAAGTCACAGCGACGCAACGTTGGCTCCAGTCAACTTTTCATTTGTTAGTATTCGTTTCACAGAGAGGCCGGAAAACACACTCAGGTCCTCTCAGCTCCAGTGTGTGTCTAGTTTATCAGTGCACTATAGTTACAACTGCACCACATGGTTATCATAAGGATTATATAAGTGTCCCATCCACTTTATTTATCTGGCACATTTTATAAAACATGTTTCCAAAGTGCTACACGGATAATAGTAACACATTAAAAGTCTCTGTGTCAATTTCAAATAAAATTGTTAAAGGTATAAAGGAGGATGTTCTACTTCAGGGTGGATCATCAAGACTATTGGTCCTAACTGTCAATCATTCTGGTGATACGTGCTCGTCGAATAAGACCAGAACATTTGGGAACAATTTGGGAACAGGGACTGGTGTCATTCTTGAACTCTGAGGAGCACAGGGACTGGCCTCCTGCTGGGACTCTGAGGAGCACAGGGACTGGCCTCCTGCTGGGACTCTGAGGAGCACAGGGACTGGCCTCCTGCTGGGACTCTGAGGAGCACAGGGACTGGCCTCCTGCTGGTCCCAGAATCAAGTCTAAACATGGGTAGGCAAATTTTCAGATTTACACAGCTAATATCTAGAGCAGTCTTCCTGAAAACTAAGACTGACATCCAAATCTCTTTCTTGTACTGTCAAATAAATCACACAATTATTATAAAAAACCTGACCTCGTCCAGTTTGCTCTGAGCGCAGGGGAAGGAGAAGGTGAACCCCACGGGGAGCTTCTTGTCTTTGATTTTCTGCTTCTCCATGAAGTCTCCCAGACAGTCGGCCACATGGTCAAACAGCTGCACACACCACACACCAGGTGTCAGGAAGAGAGCGCACAACCCAGCGGTGGATTACATCACAACAGACACACAAAAACATCTCGTGGTGTGGAGTATTTATTTGAAAATTGGGTTGTATTTTGACTTCAGTTCTCTGTGGTTTTGTTTTAGTTTCACTTTTTGTTCGGTTCGCCTTTGTTGATTGTCCTTGAGTGTTTGTCTCTGTTTCTTTCTGTCTCTCTCTGTATCTCTATTGCGTATCTCTATTGTGTATCTCTCTGTGTGTCTCGCTTTGTGTCTCTCTTGTACATCTCAGTGTCTATCTCTCTCTGTCTCTCTTGTGTCTCGCTGTGTTTCTCTCTATGTCTCTCCCTCTCTGTGTCTCTTTTTGTCTCTCTTGTGCATCTCACTGTCTCTCTGTCTCTCTCTGTGTCTCTCTGCGTGTCTTTCTGTCTCTGTGTGTCTCTCTCTGTCTCTCTCTGTCTCTCTCTGTGTCTCTCTGTGTGTCTCTGTGTCTCTCTGTGTGTCTCTGTGTGTCTGTGTGTGTCTCTGTGTCTCTCTTTGTCTCTCTGTGTGTCTCTCTCTGTCTCTCTGTGTCTCTCTGTCTCTCTGTGTGTCTCTGTCTCTCTGTGTGTCTCTCTCGGTCTCTCTGTGTGTCTCTCTCTGTCTCTCTGTGTGTCTCTCTCTGTCTCTCTGTGTGTCTCTGTCTCTCTGTGTGTCTCTCTCTGTCTCTCTGTGTGTCTCTGTCTCTCTGTGTCTCTCTCTCTGTCTCTCTCTGTCTCTCTCTGTGTCTCTCTGTCTCTCTCTGTCTCTCTGTGTGTCTCTGTCTCTCTGTGTGTTTCTCTCTGTCTCTCTGTGTGTTTCTCTCTGTCTCTCTGTGTGTCTCTCTGTCTCTCTGTGTGTCTCTCTCTGTCTCTCTGTGTGTCTCTCTCTGTCTCTCTGTGTGTCTCTCTCTGTCTCTCTGTGTGTCTCTCTCTGTCTCTCTGTGTGTCTCTCTCTGTCTCTGTGTGTCTCTCTCTGTCTCTCTGTGTGTCTCTCTCTGTCTCTCTGTGTGTCTCTCTCTGTCTCTCTGTGTGTCTCTCTCTGTCTCTCTGTGTGTCTCTCTCTGTCTCTCTGTGTGTCTCTGTCTCTCTTGTGTCTCCCTCTACCTCTCTGTGTATCTCAGAGTCTCTCTGTGTGACATTTGTATACATTTTTTCAGCCTCTTTTTTGTAACTCAACTTTAAAAATGTGTTATTTTTGTCCAAGTATACCCCAGAACGATCACTTCAAAGTCCCACAAACAGATCCTTTGACTCTCACACAAACTCCTCCGTGTGAAATATGAACCCAAACAGAAGCCAGTTGTCCCCAAACCCAAACCCTGTCCGTCTAATATTTACACTTTCTCGTCTCCTCGTGAAGTCTCGTGTCCCAAACCCGTGCATAGATCTCGTTCCTGTAGCAGCTGTCTCCTTTGATACGTCTCTCATTCTCTCTGGTTTTGAGTTTCACTTCGCTCTCCAGCTGTTTTTCCCGTTCAAAGTCACGGGTCTGATGTGGTTCTGGGTCGGTTTACAGCATAAAGACAGCTGCAGAGAGTCATCAGGGCAGCACTCCACCCTGATGCACTGATACTGTCATAAATGATCACGTTTTTATATGTTTTTAAACTTAAATTTAACATTCAAACCACAAAAACATTTTATAAAACCCATGTCACTTGTTCCTTGCTAGTTCTATTGCTGCTTTTCCCGTGTATGTAGTGTTGGCCTCTGTCACAGCTGGTCTATTTCTCTGGTTTCTCTCTGGTCTCATTATGGTCTGTCTCTGGTCTCTCTCTCTGGCCTCTCTTTATAGTCTCTCTCTGGTTTCTCCCTGGTCTTTCTCTCTAGTCTGCTCTCCTTCTGGTCTCTCTCTGGTCTCTGTATTCTGGTATCTGTCTCTCTGCTCTCCTTCTGGTCTCTCTCTCTCTGGTCTCTGTATTCTGGTCTCTCTCTCTCTGCTCTCCTTCTGGTCTCTCTCTGCTCTCCTTCTGGTCTCTCTCTGCTCTCCTTCTGGTCTCTCTCTCCTCTCCTTCTGGTCTCTCTCTGCTCTCCTTCTGGTCTCTCTCTGGTCTCTGTATTCTGGTCTCTCTCTGCTCTCCTTCTGGTCTCTCTCTCTCTGGTCTCTCTATTCTGTTATCTCTCTAGTCTCTCTCTGGTCTCCTTCTGGTCTCTCTCTCTGGTGTCTGTATTCTGGTATCTCTCTAGTCTCTCTCTGCTCTCCTTCTGATCTCCCTCTCTCTTTAAATCAGGCATGTCAAAGTCAAATACATCAGAGGGCCAAAAAAACAAATTTTCTGCGAGCCGAGGGCCGGACTGGTTCAATGTTTATTAACTCATTGCCTGCCAGCCTATTTCAGAACAGGTACTCCCATATTGCCAGCAGTTTCTGATGATTTTTATAGATTTTTCAAGACCGACAGAATATTGTGTACTATGAAATATCTGAAATCCGAAACCAGATTCTGAAAGAATAGATTGTCTACTTTAATCAGCAAAAATAATTTTGTTTCTAGCTTGTAATCCCCGGTTGAATAGAGGGAAGTTTTACTGAAATCACCAAAAAGCTGAGAAAAAAGAGGCACAACAAGTGCATCTAGCTGTTTTCAAACCATTCAGAGAGCGCTGCTGCCACCTGCTGGCTCGATTCAATATGCTCTCAAGCTTATCCCCAAACATATTAGATATAATAGACATCTGGGAACATGAAAATAGCGGAAAACGCAATTGACGTAATAGTGCGTCCATGGCAGGCAACGGGCCATGTAAAATGCATTCGCGGGCCGGATTTGGCCCGCGGGCCTTGACTTTGACACATGTGCTTTAAATCATACACTTTTTTTTCAGAAATACGAGCGGTTATTACTAATAACCGCTCGTATTTCTTATTAGATTAGATTATTGTGAGATTGGGGTGATGTATGATTGTGATGTCACACCTGTGTCCCGCTGCCGTGGATGATGTCGTCCGGAGTGTCGTAGACCTGGCTCTCCATCTGCACCGGCTGCTTCTTGTCGTGAGTCACTTTCACTCTGAGAATCCTGAAGTTAGATCCTCCCAAATCCAGAGCGATGAAGTCTCCTTTCTCTGTGGGAAGAAAGACAGAAGAGAGAGAGGTTACCAGAGGAAGACCAGAGGGGGACCAGAGGGAGACCAGAGAGAGACCAGAGAGAGACCAGAGAGAGACCAGAGAAAGACCAGAGAGAGACCAGAGAGAGACCAGAGAAAGACCAGAGAGAGACCAGAGAGAGACCAGAGAGAGACCAGAGGGAGACCAGAGAGAGACCAGAGGGAGACCAGAGGGGGACCAGAGGGGGACCAGAGGGGGACCAGAGGGGGACCAGAGAGACCAGAGAGAGAGAGACCAGAGAGAAACCAGAGAGAGTGACCATAGAGACCAAAATAAAAGAAGACCAAAGAAAGACCAGAGAGAGACCAGAGAGAAACCAGAGAGAGTGACCATAGAGAGACCAAAACAAAAGAAGACCAAAGAAAGACCAGAGAGACAAGAGAAAGACCAGAGAGAGAGAGACCAGAGAGAGACCAGAGAGAGAGACCAGAGAGAGAGACCAGAGAGAGACCAGAGACAGGCCTATTGATATTGGTGCATGTTGAATCAGAATTATTTTATTTCCAGTGTAAGTAACAAAAAGTGTGGTCGGACCCAAACCTAGTCTGTGGTGTTGTTAGTAAACACTGAGACCATATGTAGTCTGAAAAGATAGACTGGACCATAACAGAGGAGAGGAGGGGACCAGGGAAAGGCCAGAGGTGATGCTGCTGCTGCAGGATGTGGAGAGGACAGAGGGCTGTGGTGGAAATATTTGGTTAAACATGAATTATTAAAAAGGGTCCGTTATTACTTTCATAAAAAATAAAGGTGGTGCGATGTCGTGGGGCAGACTGACTGAGGAGAGGACACACACACACAGAAAGAGAGAGACACACACAGACACACACACACAGACAGAGAGAGAGAGACACACACACAGAAAGAGAGAGACACACAGAAAGAGAGAGACACACAGACAGAGACACACACAAACACCGATCATGACAGTGAAATAGAAAAAGACTTTTTCACACCAGGACCCAGACCAAGACTAGGACAGACCGAGACCCAGACCCAGACCAGAAGTCAAACCAGGACTTAGACCCAGACTCATGTGTTTTATTGTGAAGTGACAACGTATAAAGTGATTGTGTTGCTTCTCAATATTAACACCAAATTTGACATGATCATGACCTCTTTAAATACTAGTAAGACTTTTTCAGACCAGGACCCAGACCAGGACCCAGACCAGGACCCAGACCAGGACCAAGAATCATGGGCCAAAGAGACATGTGCCCTCTGCAAAGCACAACTCAATAGTAAACAGTTCAGTGTAACATGAGGCGGTGTGTGCGGGAGCAGCCACTGGGGGGCGCTGTGGAGAAATAATGTGGAGAAATATGTGTCCAGTTGTTCAGCGATGTGTTTTTGAAGCGAAGATGGAAAATAATGCACATGAAATCAAATGGTTGTAAATAAAAAAATGTATTAAGGACTTTTACGGACAATTATTAACATTTATGGACAGTTATTTCTGTTCCATGGGTTCAGTATAATGTCAAAAGGATTATAGTATTTGAATTATGTACATTCACACACAGGCCTGAGTGTGTGTGTGCGTGTATGTGTGTGTGTGTGTGTGTGTGTTTGTGTTTCTGTGGGTGTGCATGTCTATGTCTATGCCTATGTCTGTCTCTCAGTGTGTGTGTGTGTGTGTGTGTGTGTTTTTTGTGTATGTGTATCAGTTATAATGTCAAAGAGATTACAGCATTTGAATTCTATGCATTCACACACAGAGATAGAAGGTGTGTGTGTCTGTGTATCTGTGTGCGTATCTATGTTTGTGTCTCTGTGTGTGTGCGTGTGCGTATCTATGTATGTGTGTGTGTGTGTGTGGGACAGACCCTTTGACAGGTCACAATGCGTCATTCCAGCGCGGTCAAGGGGACGGACAATAAAACGGCGCTCAAACTAACACCCTCCAGACCGAGTGCCTTCTCCTGTCGCTGTCAGAGTTATTTGGCATCGAGCCGCTCAGATAAACTTGCTAAACACTTTGTGTCGCCTTCTGCATGCACTGTGCTATACAAATAAACTGGCCTCGTCTTGCAAACCTGTAGAGGATCTTACGGTTGTGCTACAGCTGTATCAACACAACAGGTCAAATCCTCCAGCTCTGCTCCTGACCGAGAGCATCAACATCTGGAGAAGGTTCCAGCTGTTTCTATGGCGACCACTGCCCCAGACTGAGGCCCTGGTGCAGTGGTGGGATAAACCCGGCAAAAACATTGGGAATTTGGTCCGGCCCCAACTGCAGGCTCTAAGGCATTGAAGGATGGCTCAAATACTGTAGCCTGGCCATAGCCATCCGTAAACTCTGGTCCTTTATCATTTCCTACACGTACGTCTGGGTCTGCTCCCAATGTCTGCAGTTTCCTCGGTTGAATCCCCTCCGACCAATCATTGAGAGCGGGAGGCGGGTGTTGTAGGTCGGTGTCAGTGACGTCAAGAGTTTGCGCAGAATTTGCTGGTTGTGGTTTGGTGGCGAATGCGATAGTAAAGTTATCTCCATCCATCCATCCATTTTCTACCCTTTAATCCATTTCTGGGTCAGGGGGGTGGCAGTCAGAGATGCCACCCAAGTCTCATAGCACCAGCCCCTCACTGACCCTCTGCAGGTGGTGAGTCCACAGGAGGACGGCTGCTCTCTGAGTGTGAGCATAGCCTTGATCTTTCAGTGGGAGCTTTGGGCAAAGTGGGGTTAAGTGTCTTGCCCAAGGACACAACGACAGCAGTCATCAGTGGGAGTTGGTGGAGAAGGTGCAGAGGTGGGAATTGAACCCACAACCTTCTGGCCTTAAGGCCAATGCTCTACCAACTGAGCTACTGTCGCCAGTAAGTAAAGTTATCTGTTCTGGTTCAATCCAAATATCAAGAAATTGAAGCCGGAGCAAGAGGAATGTTTATCAAATGTCATTGTGGCAAAGATGTTGTGGCTCTACTCCCCACGGGCTCCGTTATTGGCAAAGGAGATGCTAAAGCTAGGCTAAATGCTAAGCTAGGCTAAATGCTAAGCTAGGCTAAATGCTAGACTCTCTGGGCGGCACGGTGGCTGAGTGGATAGCACTCTCGCCTCTCAGCAAGAAGGTCCAGGGTTGGAATCCCGGTCGGACCAGGGTCTTTCTGAGTAGAGTTTGCATGTTCTCCCCGTGTCTGCGTAGGTTTCCTCCGGGTACTCGGGTTTCCCCTACCACTAAAAATATGTCCAATAGACATGTCTGGCATGCGCCTCCTGTACTGGCCCCGCTCCCATCTCTGTGTGGAGTGAGAGACAAATGCCCATAATTAACAATTGTAAACCGCTTTGAGACTCAGATCTGCAGTGAAAAGGCGGTATATAAATAAAGATTACTACTACTATTACTGGCGCATTACATACGTCATGGTAAACTCAGATCCAATGCAGATTGAAACGATAGGAGCTTAATGGAGCAAATCCAGACAGACTTAGTACAACATGAAATTTGTACAATGGTGTGGTAAGACCAGGCTACAAATACAGATATATCTTTCCCTATGCGGACAATAAAGTAAAACTTCACTTAACCTAAGAAGAGTTTATATGTTTTTCCATTTGTGTTTACATTGAAACAGTTGTGCTAAATACTCATCGTGCAAAAAAGTAAACATATACATAATACATCTATTCAAATTCATTCATTTTTGTAAATCACTACTAGCTTAAATTTGGCTAGTTGGACACATTCTGACTGCCTTAAAACAAGATTTCCCAATGAGACAATGAGCAAAATGATCTTGTTTTAAAAAGATACAGTAAACGTCTCTCTTGGAATGAGAAAATAAAGCAACAGTTCTTGAAATAAAACAAAATGGCTTTGTCCCGTTGGAGAATCTTGTCAGGATGAACAAAAAACACTTTTTAACCTCATATTTTCACATTTTTTGCAGACTGGTCACAACTTCAAGATTAAACAAATGAATCTCTTGTTATTATGTGTTTTTCGCCTCAAGACCAGTCTGTGTTCATCCCTCGCTTGTTGCTGGTTGCCATTGCTGGTTTTAGTGACATGTAGATTTCTGTAGAGGGTGATGCAGCGTTTGGCAACACACATCAAACAACAACAGTGACCAAACAAACCAGGTCAGTCCAGCACCGCACAAAAGAAGCAGCCGCACCAGCACTTTTCTCCTAAAGGACACACAACTGACAGCTCCCACTGTTCCACTGCGGCTCCACGGCAACAACACAAAAACCTAGCACCGGTTTCTTTGCATTATGGGATTGTTTGAAGCAAGAGAGAGACCGTAATGGGCATGCTGGGATATGTGTTGCATTATCAGTTACAGGACAGAAGGAATGAGGAGCACACAGAAAGAGAGCAGAGGGAGGCCAGAGAGAGGGACCAGAGGGAGAGAGTAGAGAGAGAGAGCAGAGAGAGATCAGAGAGAGAGAGAGAGCAGAGAGAGATCAGAGAGAGAGAGAGAGCAGAGAGAGATCAGAGAGAGAGAGCAGAGAGAGATCAGAGAGAGAGAGAGAACAGAGAGAGATCAGAGAGAGAGAGAGAGAGCAGAGAGAGAGACCAGAGAGAGAGACCAGAGAGAGGCCAGAGAGACACTAGAGAGAGAGTAGAGAGAGAGACCAGAGAGAGGAACCAGAGGGAGAGAGTAGAGAGAGAGACCAGAGAGAGGAACCAGAGGGAGAGAGTAGAGAGAGAGAGCAGAGAGAGAGACCAGAGAGAGGCCAGAGAGAGACCAGAGAGAGACCAGAGAGAGACCAGAGAGAGACCAGAGAGAGACCAGAGAGAGACCAGAGAGAAACCAGAGAGAGGCCAGAGAGAGACCAGAGAGAGACCAGAGAGAGGCCAGAGAGAGAGTAGAGAGAGAGACCAGAGAGAGGAACCAGAGGGAGAGAGTAGAGAGAGAGAGCAGAGAGAGAGACCAGAGAGAGGAACCAGAGGGAGAGAGTAGAGAGAGAGAGCAGAGAGAGAGACCAGAGAGAGGCCAGAGAGAGACCAGAGAGAGACCAGAGAGAGACCAGAGAGAGACCAGAGAGAGACCAGAGAGAGGCCAGAGAGAGACCAGAGAGAGACCAGAGAGAGACCAGAGAGAGACCAGAGAGAGGCCAGAGAGAGACCAGAGAGAGACCAGAGAGAGACAGAGAGAGGCCAGAGAGAGACCAGAGAGAGACCAGAGAGAGAGAGCAGAGAGAGACCAGAGAGAGAGAGCAGAGAGAGACCAGAGAGAGAGACCAGAGAGAGACCAGAGAGAGAGACCAGAGAGAGGCCAGAGAGACACTAGAGAGAGAGTAGAGAGAGAGACCAGAGAGAGAGACCAGAGAGAGACCAGAGGGACCAGAGAGAGAGACCAGAGAGAGAGACCAGAGAGACCAGAGAGAGAGAGACCAGGGGGAGACCAGGGAGAGACCAGGGAGAGAGACCAGAGAGAGAGACCAGAGAGAGAGAGACCAGGGGGAGACCAGGGAGAGAGACCACAGAGAGATATCAGAGAGAGAGACCAGAGAGAGGCCAGACAGAGACCAGAGACAGAGACCAGAGAGAGAGACCAGAGAGAGACCAGACAGAGACCAGAGACAGAGACCAGAGAGAGAGACCAGAGAGAGACCAGTTACACAACAGTAGAAATGATGAGCACACAGCTAAAGATAAATAACAAAATAAAATCTCCAACTGCAGCAAAATGAAGAAGCAAGAATTAAGTATAAAATCTCTAACTTTAGCCAACATGGAGGAGCATTCAGAAAACCTACTTGGGAATCAATCAACCACTGAAACCATCTCTCAGACAAACTCAATCTTTTTGTTTCCGCGTCACTTTAAATGCATCTGTAAACACATTTCCTCCATATTTGGACTTCCTTCCTCCTTGTTTGTGTTTGCCTGAGGAAGGTTTTGGGAGACATTCTGAAGGTTATTGGTAGATTTTTTTGAAGTTTCTGCAAAGTAAGTAAAATGTTAGTGTCATATGAACCGACTCTGGCTCTAAGGAGCACAGGGACTGGTCTCCTGCTGGAGCTAAAACCGGGAACAGTCTTCTTGAAAATATGAGACAGGTTTCGACGCTGACAATGTACAAATCCAGGTTTAAACTATAGCAGTTTTCAATGTATGTGATTTATTTATTTTATGTTATTGCTTTTTGTGATTGTTTCCATCTTGTTTTGTTAAGTGCTTTGAGTTTCCTTGTGTATGAACTGAGCTACACAAATAAACTTGCCTCTAAAATGTCTAGTTATAAGTTTTGATCAACAACTAGTGGATCCAGAGACATACAATGCATTTCCCTGCCTCCTAATATGTCAGCCCGTGTATTATTAACACATACATGATCACTCATTTCTTTCCTTCAGTCAGTAGTGTGTGACATCACTCTCTTGCTCTGACGGATGGAGCCACGAAAGGATAATTTCAGATCAGTGAGCCGTGTTACATGTCGATGCCAAGAGGCCTCATGCTGCTGCTAAATCCTACTGACGGCATGTGAGAGCAGTGGGCGGACACTGAGGGAGAGACGCTGATTTGAATGTGTGATTTATTTGTGATTTTATGTAGCCTGGTCTTACCACACCATCGTACTCATTTCATTTGGCACTAAGGTCTGGATCTGCTCCGTTGACTTCTGTTTACAGGTGGAGGGGTTAACTCCTTTTATACTGAAAGGATTGGATCTGAGTTTGCCCTGACGTATGTAACGCGCCCGAGTGAGTCGCTAGCATTTAGCCTAGCTTTAGCATAGCCCTAGCACTTAGCCTAGCTTTAGCCATCTCCTTTGCCACTAAGGGAACCCGTGGGGAGTAGAGCCACAACATCTTTGCATTTGCTAAACATTCCTCTTGCTCCGGCTTCAATTTCTTGATATTTGGAACCAAACCAGAACAGATTACTTTACTGTCGCATTGTCTAACCAAACTACGCCAAGCAAATTTGACGCACTCTTGACGTCTCCGACACCGACCTACAACACCCGCCTTCCGCTTGCTGATTGGTCGGATGGAATTCACCCCGATGTAATTGAAGACACTGGGAGTAGACCCAGACGTAGTTTACGGATGACTAAGACCAAGGTAGATTTGATGTATATTTAGTAAGTTTTAAGGGAGACTTGAAACCCATCTTTGCACTTTCACATGCAGGTATGACCAATATACTATCAAATTGTCAAAGTTTTGCCAATTCTCACTCCACACTTTTGCATGCTTCTAAGAAAGAACTCTTTGGGGTCCGAGCTGATTGGCTGGTCCTCTCTTTGTCACTTTTCTCTCTGGAAAAGCTAATGTGGTGCCCGAGGCCAAACAATATACAAATCTAGGTATAGAACTAGTGACATGGATGGATTACAGATTTGTTGTGGTTCGTACCTGATCCGTCGGGGATGGAGCGGACGAAGGTGGGCAGCATCTTGACGGTGGCGGTGGGGTTAGTGTCGCTGCTCAGACCGTTCTCCATCTCCCTCCGGAAACGGTTCATGATGTCCTTCAACGTCTCATCAGAGAATCGCATGGAGTACAGGTACTTGTCAATCTGCAGAAGGCACAACAGAAGAGGATGAGGAAGAGGAAGATTACGCTGCAAAATATGATCAAATATGAGGTAATACAGTATATGCTTGAATCGAGTGGTTTTTGTCTTAATCTGAGTTTATTCTGACTGTCTTTAAATAAGATTCTCACGATTTTTAGAATTTTTTTGACTTCTTTCTCATCACTTTTTGCAGTGTAGAGATTTTGCAACCGATTTAAACAGAGCTCAAGAGTCACTGTAATCCTCATTGATGAGTTTGGGTCAGAGGACATGCACTTTGAAAAACATTTCATTGGATTTGGATTCAAAACAGAAAAAAAGCATGAACCATATAGCATCTGTATTGAAGTAGTATTAAAGCTGGGGTACCTAACGTTTCATAAAAGGACATTGGTCAATCCGCCCCCTACGAACCAAACTACTGCTGTGTGTTTCTTGTGTCTGAACGGTTTGATTCTCTGATCTTTTTAAGGTCCTCAAGACGACTGCTGTTAAATAATGCATTGTTTGAACAGAAATTGCGGACAAGTTTTGAACATATCAGTCCACAACATGCTATCTTCTTATCTTTTTAGAAATCATGTTATATTTTACATATTTGTAAAAAAGTCACTGTGACTGTTTGGGCTGCGAGCTGATTGGCTGAGTGAGGGTGGTCCGGTCCTTCTCATCTTTCTGTGACAAAAGCTAAATTTACATGCATGTGGGAACTATAGTGATAGAACCAGACTGTTTTGAGACCAAGGAACTAGCGACGTGGATGTTATTTATAGATTGCATATTGATGGACGTAGCTGACCCTTAGCAACCATCTTAGCGACACGTCTGCTACTGTTACGACGCGAAGCTATACCCATCTGAACAAAATCCCACATTCGGTAAATACTCTTGTGAGGTCAGGACTCAGTTAGGACTGTCAGTTCCTATGATACAGACCATGAATGTATTAGTGTTAGCTTCGACCTTCAGACCAAAACATCAAGTGGAAAATCACCAACTTCTACAGACAGTTAAAATGACAGGTTCAGTTTTGACCATTGTGGAATCTGACCTGTTTGTTTGTCCTAGCAAAGTCTGAACATGCAAAAAGCCTCTAAAGTGTCATAAAAGAGCCATAATAGTTCTATGTTTGTGCTTTGAAATAGGGGTGGGCAAAGTATATCGTAGACAATAATACCGTGAAAGCCAATTTGAAGATATGCTTTTCAATACATATTGCAATTAGAGAAGGACAGACGCCCATTGGTCTAATGTGTGCCTAAAAAGCCAATCACTGCTTTATTTGCACATTTCAGTAAATATTGAGCCTTTTCGGATGTTTTCTTTCCGTGTTTCTTGAATCTGATTTTTAATGTTAATATATGTTAGTGCATGTTTTACAAAGATGTGTGAAGCACTTTAGAAAATAAAAAAGCTTCATTTTTGATCTACACTGTCTCTATCTATAGATGCACTGGCAGCAAAACATTACAGATAATTTTGTGTAAAAATGATTGATTTTAAAGATATTGTGACAATGTCGTTATCGGGAGTTGGGAAAAAAAATATCAAGATATTTATTTTTGTCCATATCGCCCACCACTAGTGTGAAAGTTGGGTCCCCCAGCTTTAATAAAGGGGTCGGCAAACAAAACACTGGAATGAGCAAAGCAGTTCAAATGCATTCATAGTCTCAATTATTATACTATACTATACACCACTCTATACGTCACGCTGGGAGCAGATTTATACTGGTTAGATTAAGACTGGAGCAAAAATCCCTCAACAAGACGTTCGACTTTAACCTTTTGTTTCCTCATCAATCTCAGACGAGCGTGGCAGTCCTGGAAATTGCTTTCTCGAATATATTTGTGGAGAAACCCAAAAGAAAATCCTCTCGGGGTCACGATCATAATGAGCTTTCTGGTGCGTTGGCCTTAAGCGTATGTATTGATTTAGGATGAAGTGACCAGCAATCCCTCCGGACGACCAGGAATGGATTTGTTATAATAAAAAGAAAACATCTGTTCTTTTTTAAAGGGGATCTAAGTTACTTTGGTAAATTATCATATTTCACTCTTCTCCAACCGGTCATAGACTTATTTAAATAAATCAAACGTTTTCAGATTTTTTTCTTCTTCATCCTACTCCTGCTCTTCCTTTCATGAAATGTATAATTGTTGTATTTTCTGGATTATTGTCATATTTTGAGGCTAAATAAATAAATAAATGTGTATGTTGTCTGAAAAATAGACATTGGATACACTAGTGTTTTTACTTTGACATGTTTGACTATTGTCTGTTATAGAAGTTATTATTGTTATTTCTACCAAAAAGAGAAGAATAACTTTCCCATACTAGACAGTAATGTATATGTTGCCAAAGAAAGTAAGGAGCGGTATAATAAGGCAAGGCAGGTTTAATTGTATAGCGCAGTTCATACAACAAGGCAACTCAAAGTACTCAAATAATCACAGTACGTTAAAAAGAGCACTAAATAAACACAGCTAATAATAATAATAACTTTTCAGGACGCTCAAAGACGCTTCACATGTCATCATTCTTCCACGCAAAAACATAGTGGGGAAAAACTACAACTATAGCTACAGCTGCCCTGGGGCACACTGACAGAAGCGAGGCAGCAAGTATGTACCACAAGCCCCTCCCACCACCACCAACCATTCACACACACACACACCAGACTCATTCTAATGTGGGTGAAGTGTTTTGCCCAAGGACACAGCAACAATTTTGGCCGAAAGCAAAAACATTCAAGAATCTTTCCAGGTTTGATTCTGTCTTTCTTCTGAAATTGCATATGAAAATTGCGCCAAGGTTGTCGCCAAAATCACAAAGAAATTCCGTTCTATTTCCCTGCACAGCTGCTACACTGTCATCTGCTTATGGTAATATATAGAATTGTTATTTTTCATTGCAAAGAAAATGAACTAGCAGTGTGTGTCTGGTCTTGATAAGGAAGCATGTCTGGTCACACCCACTTCCACTGCTTCTACAGATTGCTTCACAATTGAGTTTGTTAGGGCTAAGTTTTCTGTCAGACTTAAGGATAATGAATGATATGAATTGTGAATTATTAAGGCAAGGCAAGGTGCTGAACAAGACAAGATAGAGACAGTCACACAATGCATTAAAATATGAAATAATCACAGTACATTAAATTACTGTGGTTATTATTATTATTATTATTATTATTATTATTATTATTATAGAAAGAGGCCTACACACTGATTCTGTGGCCTTTGTTAAAAGCTTCTCTTGACATTTTGGGACCCTTTCATTGATTGGTCGCCGGTCACTGAGGTCGCTGGTCGATAGGACACTACTATATATAACATTGTTACAACACCACGGCCCAAATTAGAAGTGGGATAGATAGTGGTTGTGTATATATAAATGGGCGATAAGGCATTTTAAAGCTGGGGTCCGTCACTTTTTTGTGTTTCGTGAATAACGCATCTAGCAAGTCCCAACAGAAAGAGTAAGATTTTGTGAATGAACCAAACCAGAACACGATATCTGTGTCTTGTTATAAAACTTACAAAACGTTATAATTTGTATAATCGGATATTCAGACTGGAAGTACACAGCTCACAAAGTCCTCCCACTGTCGCTCACGGCAACAGCAACTGTCAATCACACTCAGAGCTCAGATTCACATCACGACGAAGCACCATCCAAACAGCAGATTAACTCACGCTGCAACCCTCCTCCTCCCCGTCTCTGCCTCTTTTTTTACAAACGTGTACTGGATTAGATTAGATTTATTGCTGCTGTACAGAAACGTGGTTAGGATTTGGCGCTTAGACTCTGGCAGAGCGCACTACTACTGCAAGAACACTATTTACTACTAGTACTTTTCCTACTCCGACTACCACACCTAAATAAAGATTACTACTACCTTCTACCTACTACTCCTACTAATACAAGAACAGCATTTAAACTTGCCTTGCCATTGACTACTACTACTACTACTACTACTACTACTTCCACGGCTGCAGTGTTTACTATAACCACAAACATCTATTATTGGTTGAAACAAAAGCACATTTATTTGTCTTTCTCTGTCCTCTATTGTCCCAGAGTGAGACAATAGCCCCTCTCATCTCCTGTCTCTGGGTGGCTGCCACAGTCTAAACCTCTTTAATTACCACGGGGGGGGGGGGGATTTGAGCGGTGGACGTGCAGTGCGTTACGTAAGCTAGCGGTGAAGGCCACAGGACACAAACCTATTCTCTGCCAGGACACTGCAGCCACATCATACTCTGCTCTTTACCATAACTATTTATACCTGGAGTACTGCCATGGAAGAACTGAGAGAGCCTTTTAAGGAAGAGAGGGGGAGAAGGAGAGAAGATGGTGTGGCTTTGATATGAAAAAATATATTAAAATATTCTTTATTATTCATACAAAGTGGGGAAATGTCAGTGTTGCATCACCAGTTACAGAACAGTAGAAATGAGGAGCACACAGCACACGATAAATAAACAATAACTCTATACTAAAATAAAATAAAATCTCTAGCGTTAGCATAATAAAGAAGCATGTATTCAAACTGTAGTATTAGCATCATAAAGACTCATGTATACAATCTGTAGCGTTAGCATCATAAAGAAGCATGTTTACAAACTGTAGCGTTAGCATCATAAAGAAGCATGTTTACAAACTGTAGCGTTAGCATAATAAAGACTCATGTATACAATCTGTAGCGTTAGCATCATAAAGAAGCATGTTTACAATCTGTAGCGTTAGCATAATAAAGACGCATGTATACAAACTGTAGCGTTAGCATAATAAAGACGCATGTATACAATCTGTAGCGTTAGCATAATAAAGACGCATGTATACATAGTTCCCACAGACCAATGAATGTCACATGACCTCCTCGGAGACGCCATCTTTGATGGCACGCTGCTGTGTTTGTGCATTCCATTAAACAGAAGAATGAGAATAAATGTAGATATTCAAACGCAAATTGGAAAAAAAGGGCAACTTTTGAGCAA